TAGCAAGTTTCTGCTTTGTGGAGTTGGCAGCTTTGACACATCAAATGAAGACTTTATTATTTCACTTGAAACTCTGGGATAAGGTACAGTATGCAGGAACCAGTTATCCAGTTAGAATTTAGAGAGGATGCTGAAGTGACTCCATGATTCATGCACCAAGAGTCATAGGCTATTTAATGTCCATAAGTACGTCACTATATCATCTCATCTAAATGTTATCCACTCCATTACCAGAGTGTCCCCTAAGACCAAACTGATGCACTGACACAAGGAATGAGTGCCACTTGCTGAACTATGATCTTCCCATTAGGGCTATATGAAGCTTCAGGTGCTGATTCAATTTGGAGGAGATTTGGCTGAGATTCGGCTGAATCTGAATCAAATCAAGAGACCAATTAAAAGGTCTGAATCTATTAGAAGTTCCCTGGATCGATTTGGAAAAGACTCAGAGCTTCAGAGATTCAGGCAATCCACATGTTCTGCCACAGGGAGCTGGACCTGGACTCCATGCTGGTAAATACGGGGCAGGGGAGAGGGGGGGCTGGAGGAGAGGGGAGGGGACCATGGCAGGACCCCTACCAGGCCCCATCCCCTGCCTGCTCCACCAAACCTCCCCGCTCTATTTGCGAGGTCTTAGACCAAGACATTTAGCCACAAGGGTATATTTTTTTGTTTCTATATTGATAATATTAACTAACTTAGTAATGCACAGGTGATATACAATAGACCATTGCTTTTAGCTGTCTCCGTGTGGTATTAGACAAGCTCTTTTGCGGCAAGGATTTTTTGTGGTATATTGTATTGGACCAACTGTACAGTCAGCATCTGAGGAAAGCCACTTGGTACTTGAAAGCTTGTCCAACAGCTCTCCCAGCTATACAGTTGGTTCAAAAAAAGATATCACAAAAAAACTTTGCCTTTTGGATATTTCCTAGACCATCATGGTTATAACACCCCAAATCTAGATGTCTTTTGACTTTTAACCACTATCCTCAGAAGCCCTTTGAAATAGCTGTTCATAACCATATAGTTTTAAAAGTTAAAAAACAGTTTAAGAATGTTTGCCTGCACACACTCCTCGTGGGCAGCTATTTTCTAACAGCTGGGAGTACCTTGCCCTTTGCTGTGCCAGCGTAAATCCAATTAACTTTAATGGGCACAGTACGATGTATTCGCCTGCCCATTGGCAACACGTAACACCTATTAAATGCTTCGGTGTTGCCCTTCCTGTCCAGCTGCTAAGCTGCCACCAGTTCCTTTCCTGTTCTAACATTCCACAGAAATCATTTGGTGACGTTCCTGGAACAATGAAGGTGTGTTTTGCCTGACAGCGGCAAAGTCATTAGTGTCAATGGGATATCTGCATAAGTATATAGAAAGAAAACGGTTCTTACTGAGAGTCTGTTTCCTTCTATTGAGATAAATATGTGTAGCTGATAGGGACATGAAATAAAGAAAAGGCCTTCTCTGTGAAAAGATTGGGCTTAGTTTTGATAAAGATATCTAGGACTTTCTGTAAAACTTTATTTTTCTCCCAATGAAAGTAGCCTACAGGCTTCCCCCCCACCATTTAGACAGTTATACTACACTCTTCATCATGAGAAGAAGAGACAACCAATGTACAAGATGCTTGTCACTATGCACACAGGGACTATACAGAGTCTGAAACATTATGGTAACAGATGAATAAGAACCATTTGAAAAGGCCACCAGCCAGAATCAAAGGAAATGGTTACTGGGCTGGACCCCAGGCACAGCTATACAAACTATAGATAAAAATGTATACAACAACATGCATTACAAATGTGGGAGCAATTTTCTATTTAAAAAACAAATAAACCAGGAAGGACAAGGAGATGCAAAGGAAAGAGTCTCAGCAGAAGCCAGGGCAAGCCTCTCAGCCAACAGGCAGAAATTTACAGCAGGCCAAAGGGACAATAATTCAGGCATTTGGGAGTGTAGGTAACTTTGTTTCTTATTGCTTGCAATTTCCAACCTACCATGAGCTAAAGTAGGATTGTCCAACTTCTAAGCAGCCAGGGTCTGCATGCCACACAGACCATATCTGGGGACCACATGCTGCACAAGTCACATAGGTCCAAGGCCCCGTGAGCCACGCACTGTATTAGCACCCTGGCTACTACCCTCAGCTCCCCAGCCCTGGGCTACCCCAGCACCATGCATCATGCCTCACTGCTTTTCCCCCAGATGAAGGAAGCAGACACAAAGAAGGGAGGAGGAGCCCAGAGACCCCAGCAGCTGCTTCAACCAGAGTGATGGAGAGAGTGGCACCTGGGTCCACTTTGTGGGCTACAAGTGGCCTATGGGCCGCCAGTTTAGCCCTGAGCTAAATGATGGACCCTCTTGAAAGTCAGTATGTTGTGGCAGGAATCAAATGAAAAGTCTTTCCATCCTTGTGCATCCCTCATAAAGACAATCTAGAATTGTATTCCCCAATCTTGGGGAAGTAAAGGGGCAGCTGCCAGTTTAGTTGCCCCTGGAAGTGAGTCCTTGAAATGGAGGACGGAGGAGACTAGGTACAATTCTGTGTGAGAGAGAGAGAGAGTGGAGACTGGATTATCTCTGTCCCCTTTGTGCAACCAGGAAACTCTTTGAAGCATTCTGTCGCTCTGGGAATGTCCTCTCCTGTTCACTTTGCAGCAGTGCCTATCCAGATTACTCTTCAGCACAGGACTGTAGCCATATGCCCCAACTGAGCTCAATGCAAGAACAGAAACCAGAGCCAAAAGGAGTGTGGGTGGCAGCTGAGAGAAGACATCGTTGACTGAACATGATACTGAGCTCCTGACTCGGAGATAATTTTACAGCAGAGGGTGAAACTCAAACCTCTCTTTTAATGTGACACAAGGTTGTAATGCAAGGCTGACAACTGAACTGATGCTGTTTCAAGAACGTCAAAACTGTTTGTTAGAACTGGACGAGCTTGGGAAAAACCCATCCAGTGTGAGCCCAGTGAGATTTTTTTCTTTTCTCCAGTTCAGGCACATTTGCCTGGCTTAACTGAAGCCTGGGGTGAGCTCGCTTAACATTTGATTGCCTATTGCTGAGGGTGTGATTTACAGTCAAATGGACTCCACTAGCACATAAGGCCGTATCCAGATGAGTGTGGACATTTGGTTCCCCGGGGACAAGAAGCAGCAGTACACCTTTGTGCTACTACTACTTGTCCCTGGGGATGTCTGTGCTGCATGCCCTCTGGCGCCTGGTAGGTTACCCCAGCTAGAGTAGAGAAGGCCAGGACCAGCAACTGTGCTGGCCCCAATAGCCTTAAAGCAGCAGCCATGGCCCTCCTGCAGCTTGGAGCTTGTCTGGATGCAGCCTATGAATGCAAAGCTAAGTCTACATAAACACTTGTATAACTTATGTTGGTGTGTGTGTTGAGGGAAAGATCTTGAGCAGCTTCAGTAAGATGAGCTGCCACTGTACCATACAAGCCAATAGGAAGAAACAGTTCCTGGCCTCCTACAATTTATAATCTAAATAAAACAAACTAAAAGGTGAGTTTGGAAGCATCTCTGTTGAGGGTTCCATAACAAAGGCCACTTAGGCGCCTCACAGGTCTCGCTTTTTCAGGGTGTTTTGAATGCCTACAATTCTACTGGAGCTAATGCTTCATAAAGCTATTGGTCACCTCGAACTGCTGGTTTAGGTAGTTTGTTCAAAACTTTCTTTTGCTATGGTTGAATGAAATTGGCACTGCTGCTAGAAGCTGAGAAGCACTGGGATCAGGGAGGAGATGTGGCAGGGATGAGCAGCACCAGGACTGGGGGGAAATATGGTCCTCCCCAGTCCTGGTGCTGCTTACCCCCCTGCATCTCCCCCCCAGTCCTGGTGCTGCTTACTTCTCCATGGCTCCCCCCACCCATCCCAGCACTGCTCGGCTCCTGACTCCTCCCAGGCATGGATGGGGAGTGGGAGCTGCCTGGGAGGAGCCAGGAGCAGAGGGATGGGGAGAGTGAGGGGCACTGCAGCTGCTTGGCCACAGGACATCACCCCAAGCCAATGCAGCCAAGCCAGGCTGTGATCCTGAGATCTGCACCAGCACTGTGGACAACTCCCCTCCCACCCTTTGTGGCTCCTGCTGCCTAGGCTGACCAGAGCAAATTGCTCCTGGTCAGCATCTACACATGTGCTACTGTGCAGTAGCTAATGCACCGTTACTCTAGTACCTGTATTGCTGGTACTAGCAAACAGTGTATTAGCCTCATTTACTGCTCAGTAAGTCCCACTCATGTGTAGACACTGACACTACTGCACATTAGATTAGTCTAATGTGCAGAAAAGCATTTTGTGTAGACATGCCCACTGAGTAGTGCCAACCTTCATGAATCTCCTACTTGGAGCCCTCTTGTAACTGGGACTACTTACACTGTGTGAAATATGACTAAGAATGGAAGAATTTGGCCACAGGATAATACTAAAGCAAAGCAAACAGTTTAAAAAAAGAACTAACCAAATGTTAAAATCTCCACCCCAAACTCAAACTAAAACTTTGTTCAGTTTTTAGGTTCAGGAATGTTTGGCTAACTCTAAATAAAACAATGTTGTGTTTCTACACATCCTGCTTTTAGCTAAACCTTGAAGAAGAAATACAAAAAATATGGCAAGAAAGTCTCTGTTTGCACTATTTCTGGCCCAGTTGAAACCAGGAAGTACTGGAAATCTCACAAAAAAGCTTTGTCCAACTCAAGAGGTTCTGCCACTATTTGTGAATATTCTATGATGTGTCTGCAAGGGCTGCAATTGTTTTCTTCTACCCAAGGAAGCTGTTATGAACAAAGTAGTAGATTATCATTTACATTAAGTTTCCTCTCCATCACTTAAGCACCTAACACTTCTACAGCGATTTAAAGAGGCTGTAGTGTCAAAGAAAGCCCAGCCCAAATGCCTCTGCTACAGTAAATGTTAATCAACTAGGCAAATTCTTGTGGTCAGTAAGTGGCTAATTTAAAACAGAGAAAATAACCCACAGTTTTTTTCTTTGTTTTTTTTCTCTGACAATTCTTTTTATTGACTTTATAGAGAAGCACTCGGAAATACAAAGACAATGGCATTGTTTTAAAGGGTACCCATCCTGCCGTCTAAAATTACCCTGGATATCACTGCAGCATATTTTTAAAAGCATTTTTTGTTGTAGAGTTCTGCAAATGCATATTTCAAGGAACACCAGCATCATTGTTAAAGATCATATAAAAGTCAACAGAAAATAATGCATATTCGCAGATCACACAGCTATTTGTTATACCACAACAAAATCATCCTAAATGATACGGTATCACAGCTCCATGTTTGCTAGCCAGGTTTGTTACATTCCCCAGATTTCAAAGAAACATATGTTAAGAAATGCAGGTTAATCATTGCCCTAATAAAAACAGTAAACAGTTCATATTTAGGTTGTCACAAAAATACAGAAGGATCACACAGACTGAATGCATACTAAATTCATAGCTAAACCAATCCTTTTTCTAATGAAAATGTTATATTTGGGAAACTTTTATAATTAACATTATATTTTAGCTTTTTCACATGGGTATGTGCAATAGGCATTACACTAAGTAATATTTCTCTCAGTACACTAAGCAGTGTTTCAGACCACATCTATTGGGCTACCCCTCTAAGTGATAAAATCTACTAAGGTTTGAGAAACTAATCAAGTACCTAGTATCACTCTCTTCCTAAAATAATTTACACTATGACTCTATGATTTGGGTATTTGTTAGGTATGGTGCATCTGGTTAAGAAATTATACATTGTATTAACGAGAGTCCCTCTCTCACTGTCCACAAGATTATTCTTGTCTTTAAGAAAATTGTCCTAGGAAAGGATACCTCATATGAAAGTATTAAACACCTAACTCCAGCTCCATAACTTGACATCCCAACTCACACTAAATGCAACTAACCCTTACATTGCAGGACAACTTGCAGAGTAAGGTAAAACCCAATGCTAGCAAGGAAATAAAAATATATCTATAAATATATTATTCATTAAAAATAAAATCTTAAACTTGTGGAATATAGATGTATTTATAACAAATGTAAAAGCATAAAGAGTGGGGCCATTAAACTGATATCATTTGAAATGTCCTGTGCAGATCTTCTTTTGCTTTTTTATGGCTATAAAAGTGCAATTCTTGGGGCTTCTTGGATGTTATTTATGTATTTATTTATTTATTTAAAGTTAAACTAGGGTCTCTTTCCTCCCACCAGCAAAAAGCTGTAGAGGATAATGCCTTGGAAAGCTGATCTAACCCCAAACATGCTCAGTGATCAAAGGGGTAGGTGCAAACAGAAGCAAGATTGTCATTATGCTTAGATACTAGCACACTGTAATCATACCATGCAGAAGGCATTTCAAAAACCTCTTCCTCCCCCTGCCAATCTGTCACACGCACAGGTCTTTCGCTTGAATGAAATGTGAGGCGCTGTACATATATAAATCTAATTTTGCCTAGTCAGGTGACAGGAACAGGTGCTTTTACTTCTACCTGAAATTATAAAGCCTTTCATACTCCTTGAAAAGGCAAGACGTCTGAAAATAGGAGTTACGGATTATGAAAGCAATTTAGAGTGTGCTATATATTAATCTCTTTGCATAGGTTAAAAGCAATAATGCCTTGACAAACCATGTATTAGCAATGTAAAGAACCAAAAAGTTGTCTAATTAGATTCTCTGGGACTAGGAAATACAAGAAAACTTTGGTTTAATTTTGTATTTTACTCTCTACAAATTTTATATTAGTGCTATATGAACAGTTACTCTGGTTTCTTAGGAAAACATTAAACAAACCAAAGACTTGACTATTACCTTTCTGAAGAATAAAAAGGAAGAAAACCCTCAAAAAATGAAACCCAGAAGCCAAGAGATCATATTTAATCTCTCTGACACACTCTGCTTAAGTGCCATCTTGTGTTTACTGTTCAGCACACAATACTTTTTGCTAACCTCACTGCATACCAGTCTCTTCATAAGTAACAATGTTCTGCTTTTCCTTTTTCATGTTAAGAGCACAACATACTTTTGTGTTGTCATCCTGGAAAATTAAATAATAAAATATTTTAAAAATTAGTCACAATTAAAATAAACAGTATCTAGAAACATAACTTTAGTGGAAACTCTACAACAGCAAGTACATCGCCGAAGAGAGTCTAACATAGGGAACAACTGAAATCAAGACATCTTTTCTGTTATACATATTACTCAATTAAATGGTATGTTCCCTTGCAAACAAAAATGTTATGATTCCCAAAAGAGCAACAATCAGCTTGAAAATCAAGTTAGATGTCAACAGTTGATTATTAATTGTCATCCCCTTCATTATTATTTGTTTGCTGTGGCAGCCAACATCCATAATCAGCATTCATCTTTCATCCGTCTTGGCTGTGCTTCTTGGCAGGTGCTGGGTGGGGTAAACACAGAGGGGTCACTAATACCCAGCTGTAGATCAAAAAAACGGGTGGAAGTTGTCACGCTGTAGTTCCTGGTATAGGTTTCCTGTACTGGGTAACAGTCCTTAATTGTGTAAACTCCAACCCAGGATTCAACTGAAATGAAGCACAAAGTTTATCTATTTTATAGAACAAACACAAATGAGTTATTGTTATTTTTGATGTTGTTAAAGTTTTAAGTGAATGTTCATAGATTTTCCTCAACTACATAACATCTTGTAGGCTTGGACTTTCAAAAGAGCCCAAAGCAGCAGAGGGCCTTAATCTGTAAAAATCTCAACCTTAATGGAGAAGTGGAAGATGAGTGTTTTTCCTGCTTTTTCATGATAAAATATTCAAATACACATACATGGAATTGGTGGAGCAGCTTGTAAAAGCTGTGTACAGAACACACATTGTAAGCAACTTCTGAACAGCCCAATTTCTACTGTTCTAACAGCACAGGTCAGTTTTGCTTTAGGTTCAGCTGACAGCCATTTAATCTCTGATTATAAGGATATTTTATTCAGATTGCCATCTTTCAGTCTAATATTGGCATAATTCCTGGCTACTATTTCCTCCTTATTTGTTTTTACTCTCTCTCACTAACTTACCTTCCTCTGCTCATCTCTCCTGTCTCTGTGCCATTCTCATAACAAGCTTTAAGCAAAAAACTATTTTCACTGACCCCTTTTCCTTCCTGACCCTTGTTTCCATGTGATGTCAGTATTTTCTTTGCTTCTTCTATTTACCTGACTCTGATACTCACAATCCCTTCCCCAAATCTCTGACTGTCCTGTCTTTTGAAACATTTTAATTTTCCCCATTTTACTTCCTTTATTCTAATAAATGAAGTCCTGTAAGTTTACTGTCCATTTTTCATACTAGTAATCAGATAAGTAGATTTCTTGTGCTTTTCTAAGTAACACTTCCATATCTTCCACATACATGTGTTTTTGACTGCCATCCCTGATTTTGGCCCCAAAATTTTACCTATATTCCAAACACATTTGGCATCCTCAGGTTTATTTAAAAAAAAAATATTTGTCATGGAAAAAATCCCCATGAAATTTAAGTGTCCAACAGAATTATTTATACTACTGGAATAAATAACACAATATGCTGAGTTTTCTGCATGAAAAAAGAAAACATAGTCTGGGTAAAAGTTATGCATTTTGCCACCCATCTGGACCTGAACCCTAGCAGGTTACGAGGTATGACTGTACTTTACTCTGCCTGTAATTTGGAAATCATTGTCATAAGCCTGTAGTTAATGCAATCTCAGACATACTCCCCTTTTCTAAGACTAAAGGCTTTTGTCTGTTACCATGCTCTGGGAACTTACTGTAGTTTTTGACCTTTCCTGTCAATGTTTCTCCTTTTGTCTGTCAAACCATTGGTGAAAATGTCTCCCTCAAACCAGAACTCTTCTGTACCCAATATCTTCTACCTTCCTGTTTTCCAACCATCTTAACTCCAAACTATGACTTTTATACTGATGATATTCAGCTGTCCATATCTTACCACATCTTTAATTCAAACAAACATGGCCTTCTTCTCATCTTCTTCCAGCTAACTATCTCAAACACAGACGTGTTTGTCTTGGAAATATAAAGAACTTTCCAAAACACAAACTTCAACTCCTCTCTCTCTCTTCTTAACTAATTCCTCCTGTATGCTTCTTGCTCTGTGTAAATATTCAGCATTATCCTAATCCCTAAATTTTACCTCTTCCACCACCCTTCTGTTTGCAAATCTGCCTATCATCATCTGCCTTTACAGCATTGTCCACAAGAGCCTTCACTTTGCCTGCACCCTTATGGAAATCTTCACCTACACCTTCATTACTGCAGCTCCCATCAGCCTGGCATCTTCACTGGGGCACTGTCCGGTTCAAGATCCTGTTCAAAAGGATCCTACTTCCACCTTTGCTCCATGGTATGATATAAATCTCCACCACTGATTTGTCTCTTGAGGTGGAAAATGCTATCTCTTGGTTTGTTTTTTAAAGTTATGGTTTTACTCCAAGTTAACTCAAGGACTTCTTTTATTTCTCTCAGGTCCTCTAACCACTGGAGGTCCATTCACCTACTGTTGTCAGTTGACGCCAGTATTTCTGTATATATATTCTGCCATCTAGAGTAGGTTTCACTGACCTACTGTTGCACATCTCACCTCAGAGAATCTTTCATCTCTTGCCTGCCTCTTTTTCTCCCCCTACCCCTCCGTTTTTAAGGCTGTTCCAGTTCCACAAGGTGCTTTTTTCACAAGCCTAACTTAACATTTGTCAATAGTCCTAATGATATTAATAATTTTATGGACAAACAAATAAATTGCAGTAAGATAAAAAGAGGCAGAAGCTAACTACAAAGTCGCTGATATGTGGCAACTGTCTGTGTGCCCACTCTTACTCCATAGTAAGTAAACATTAAACCACAGTTACAGCCTTATTTTAAGCCCCATTGCCTTCTAAACAAAGGTAATTTGTCTGTTCATATCATGTGAAAACTCACCAAATTAGAGGTGGGACTCTAAAAAGCAACCTACTTGTACAGAGGATATGGGTTACAGTTGATATGAAAGGTGCTTTTGAAAGGCAAAAGTGCCATAACTAAACAAAGTGAATAGACATCTTTTCTGTAAAGTAGTAATTGAAAAATGTCTCCCCTGCAAAACACTTTTGGAGTTTTGAAGATTGTATAAAACATTGATTATTGTCTGTATCAAATAGTTTGTAAAAATCTGAATTCACAGGTATGACTAAAATTGAGAATTAAGAGAATTTTAATCCTGATGACTCTGTCTTGGCATTTTAGCTGAGTTATAGTCCTTGTAGTCAGATGTGTATGTTACTCTCTGTGACTGAATCCATTTGCAGGCTCTGTCTTAACCTTGAGTTTAAACAAGCCAGTCATATTTTCTGCGGACATTTCAGAACTTTGATTCCCTTTTGTCTTCCTGCTCGACAAGACGCTATTTAGTATACATTACATCTTAATTTCCAAGAGCTGGAAAGGAAGACACCTGAACATAACCACTAGCCAGCCACCCATATCCGTTACGATATATTCAGATCCTAGCATTATGCATTTGATCATTCCTTATTACAAAAATAGAATACAGCCCCCATAGGTTTAAAAAGATAAAAAATGCTGAAGGCAGGGATCTCCTCATTTTACAAACCCTTGTAAGTGATCTTTTTTTTCCTAACCCTTTTATGGCATGAACTTTCTCTTATTCAAACAACAGCCAAACATACTTATTTTCTGCCCTTATAAATTGTGTCAAGTGCTGTGCAGTAACCACATTACGAAAATAGGTCTAGTTATGACATAAAATGCATATAGGCCACCTCAAAAAAGACTGATAATGTCATCAGTGGTTCAACATCCTTCCCCAAAACCCAAAATGCCAAAAAAAAAAAGAAAAAGAATCAGACATTTCAAAATGATCTATAGGTTCCTCCTGAAACCTGCTCTTGCTAGTACAATCAGACTCTTAAATAACTGAATGAAAAATAAAATGTTAGTCATGTACTTTTGGGTATCGACTTAAAACAGCATAACTTTAATATACCTGCAGTTTGCCGATTCCAAGCCAAATTAATTCTGAGGGATGGATACAGAAGTAAGAACAAAACACTACAATCTTTAAAACTTGCCATACAAAACTTATGCAAATACCCTGAATATACAAAGTATGTCAGAACATATTCAAATATTTTCAAGAATAGAAAATTGATACCATCTGGATATTAAATACTTTGAATGATCCAAAAACACTGGATCTTAATAACAATTTTCTCGGCATTGTTGATTATGCATCTCCTGTATAATTTTGGAAGATCCAGTCTAGTTACAGTTGTAACAATCTTTTCGTTGGTTGTATTTCTCATTTTTTATTTCAGACATAAAAAAAATTCCTCTTGGCTAAATACTTCAGTGCAAGTGGATCCATTTATCTGCTGGTCATGATCACGAGTGTTGTGTTAACTGCATAATACCAAACATTTAATTTTAAATTCAAAGGCTTTCAGGACTATTTTTATAGCTGTCCAGATCATGTCTAAACCATAGACGAGATGGAAGCCAGTGTCCTACCGACTGTTTCTGCATCCAAAACCTAACATCCTGTGCCTTTTGAAACTTCCACCTCTTTCCTTTTGTGAGCCAGGCATGCAACTGCCAAGTGCAGTACTAAGATTGAAAGGAGAGGGAAACTATCAGTTTCCTGGCTAATGAAAATTCAGTGCATGGTGAGAGTGTATGGTGCTGAAAAATAACATACTGAACTTATGATAAAATTCAAGATGAGTATACATGCATGCTACACTGAAGTTTGTTTGACTTTGTAACATTCTACTTAGTGTACCTCTACTTATATTATTGAACTCTCTCATGAATAATTCTGGGTTCATCCCAAAGACTGTACTGAAATATGGTAGGATGAAAATGACTCAACTGAATATATTTAATCCTCCTTAGATCCAAGACATTTGCTTAATAAAATATAGCACTAGTAACATGATATACCAGCCATGCTAGATATTTATTCTTCCTTTGCATGAATGTTGTGGTAATATGAAAGTCAATGCTAGGTGTAAGGGCAAAAATTGTGTATGTTTCTGAGTAAAAGAAATGCACTTTTTTATTGCTGAAACAAAAGGAAACACTTACGTTTCCTGGCTGGCTTTCTATCAGACCATTCCTGTACCATAATTTCATCTCCTGGTCCTCCAATGTAGTACTGATCTTCATAAGTTGAATTGGCAGGAATATCATAAGGATCCCATGGCTCAGTCAGAGCAATTTTTGAGCACAGCTTTGTAACTTGTTCAATCTGAAACAGCACTGCGTCTTTATAGAGGAATATGTATTCAAAGAATCTGAAACATTTAAAAAAAGAAAACAGTTAATATTCATAATCTTTCTACAGATGGAGCTCATAGGTCTGATACAACGCACAGACCCTGTTTTCAGTTGCTTATCATTTAGTCGAAGTTTCATGAGCTAAAACTTTCTATGCTGGGTATCTGCCTCACTGATTTTCAACCCTTCTTGGACACAAGCGTAGGGAAACAACAGATTGTTAGATCAATGTTAAAATCAGTTTTAAAACCACTTGGTTGAGAACCTGCAGGAAGAACTTAAGATTTGAAAGACAAGAGGTCTCTGTCAGGGATGTGGCTTTTGCCCTTTTCTGTGAAAACTTTCCCAATTCTCGCCAAATTAAAGTCTTTGAAAAACTGCAGTTTACACATGCTCAGGAGAGACTTTTGACAACTTAATTCTCATGGGGTGCAGACAGAAGTGCAGCTCCCTGCTGCAACTGAGAATGCTTTGCAGGAAGTGTTCCAAGTTACAATGATCCCCCAAACCAAACAGAAGTTCAGTGTTGGTTCCAGGAGGGAGGGGAATCTAGCTGCTGGCTGGAAGCCTGCAGCTGGCTTCCCCTAGCAATGGCCCCTGCTTCCTCCCAGCCTGTCCCTGTCATCAGAATGAGAAGGGGAAAGGGAGCAGAGGGAACTTATTCTAGGGCAGGAAAAGGTAACCCCCAGCATGAGTGCCAATTAGTGGCACATGGAGACATCTTCCCTAGCATGCCAGGAGGCCTGCAAGGAAATTGTTTTAAAAAAAGGTTTTTTAAGTTGCTGTTCCAGGCTTTCTGGAGCAGCCACAGGTCCCAGCACCAGGGCAGGCACTGGGAGCAGAGTTAGGAGAACACAGTAAGGTCGCAGTCTGCCTTCTGCTAGCCCCACCCCCTGTCCATCGGCTGCACCCCCCAGCCTGGCCTGGTCCCTGGAGAGGAGCTGCAGGTGGGCGAGGCTGAGGCCTGGGCAGGTGCTGCACTGGGCCACTGTGCTAGAAGCTCCTAGTGGGTGAGTCTGATGGGGGTTTGAGCAGACAGATGCTCCATTGCACCCGGGTGGGGCAGCACTGGGGCACAGGTGATGGGTGTAGGTCTGGGCAATGCAGGGAGAAACAGGCATATGGGGAGGTGCTGTGGGCTGGCCCTAGGCCCTGGCCTTGCCCACCCACAGCTCCCCTCCATGGGCCAGGGCCAGGGCCAGGGCAGGGCCACTGTGCTGCAGGCTCCCAGCTGGCTCGGCCCCAAGCACCACCTGTGGTGGCTGTTATCAGGAGCCAGGGGGCTCCCATGACCAGGCCCCCACACCAGGGGCAGCTCTGCCTCACTTATACTGTGCTTAGCACACAAGGAGGCCAAGCCCAGAGCTGGGAGCCCCCTGAGCCCAGCAGCCAGGCATCATCTCCTCATGGGCAGGGCGGCTGCAGCCTATCTCTGCAGAGCTGTGTGGGCTGGGCTGGGCTGGGTTGCGCCCCTGTCCATTCACCACGGCCCAAATATGTGGAGCCCCAGGGCAGCCCCTGCTTCCCACCTAGCCCCCACTCTCCTCCAGCTGCCATTTTTCAAAGCAATGTTTATGATTATTAACTATACTAATAACAGTGTGTACTGTCATGTATCCCTTGCCCCAGTTTTGTTTTTTTGGCATTGCAGACACAAGTTATAGAAGATGGTATGTTTTGAAACTCCCATGTAATGAGAGCTCGGATTTTCACTCAAATGGCCATTTTTTAAACAGCTTGCAGCTGAGCACTTGGGTTTGATCATAGCTATAAACCACTTTTTGTGGCCAGATCAGGCAAAAATTGTCACTTCTTTCTGCACCTTTCTGTTCTGTCTTTACTGAAGATGACTGAGCCTCACTCATCAGATTGTGCTGACAAGACTGCATTCACCAGCCCAAAGACAAAGGAGGCACGTAGGAGTTCAGCAGAATTTTACCTGCAATTTCTCCTGGCTGCTTGGGGCCACAGTGACTCCCAAACCAGAAACTGAGAAAACAGATTCTTCCCTGTTGGCACTGAGGCAGCAAGGACAAAAAGGAGGAAGTGAGAACACTGGAACGCAGGGGAATGAAATATGGGTACAGGTTGAGAGTACTTGTGGGAGTTGGAAGGTAGGGGCAGCAGAGTGAGTTGTTAAATATGTATCTGTATCACACACCCATACATACCCCTTCATATTCATGTTGTGCCAAGGCTTACTTATTATAGACCTTTCAAACATTACACCAAATAGTTATTAATTATTAATTTCTTCATGGGTATTTCTCTGGCATTCATTTATAGACTAAATGAACTGAAGAGGTAGTATTAATTTCATTTTATTTATGATGACCTGAGCCAAAGAAAAATCATAATCAAAACTGCCATAGCTGTCCACTAATTTGGGGTGCCTAAGTGTAGTCTTGTAAGGCCTCATAATTTCCAGAGCCTTATCTGATTTATAGCACATGGTTTGTTTGTGTGTTCAAACTATTAATCCAAGTGACCTCATTTACACTCATAAGAACATTGCATTCTAGAATTCTGTTTCAAATGTCTCACATTCTAGAATACCTAGGAAATGATGAGTGTACAATTAGTGGCCACTGGTGAACACTTTAGTTTAAGTCTGGCTTAAGGTTAACTTCACTCAGAATCTCTGTAGCACAGTAAGGAACAAAATCTAATTACCCATGGTGGAATTCACCTGCCTTAACCATGAGATGGTCCTTTCTCTTCCTGCAATTTCCTGCTTCATTTACTAGACACCTTCCAGCTTGTACAACAAATGATGCAGATGTCCTACAGACAGTGGCCTCTTTTACCGTCTGCCCTAGTTCCTTCCTAGAACACTATCCTACCTGTGCCATGAGACATGGCTTCTGGAGAAAAACAATATGTGATGATGTGATTAAAGATGGTACCATAGTTGTAACAGGGAACCAGGGGCTCCTGTTACTTTAAGGGAAGGAAGGAGCAGGCTAAAGCATTCAGTAGGAGATAGCTGAATTGGGTCCTGCTGCATTTTTGATAAGCAGCCAGGAGAAAGCTTACAACAGCAGGGACCTAGGACTTGAGACCTAGAACTACTAGGTAACCAGAGAGGACAGCTGGGCAGGGGAATCCAAACAGCCTGTTAGGCTGAACAGAAACCCCGGGGCTCATTTTCAAAGACAACAGTCAGATGACCAGAAAGGTCAAGTCTTGGCTGTATATTAGGGCTGTGAGAAACAGCACTGTTTCGTTTTGAGTTCCATTTTGCCATTTCAAAGGAACAGCATTTTGTTTCACTGTTTTGAAGCACTGTTCCATTTTGTCAAAAATGTTTCGCTGTTTTGATGTGTTTCAACGTTTCCCCCCAAAGGCTATAATGGGGAATCACAAAAATGCCTAGAACTTTTCCATTTCTTTCCTGATTTGAATGAAAACGTCACCAATGGTAGCTCCTGCTGAGGCCACAATGTGTGCCAAGTTTTAAGGAGATAGGTGCAGGGGTTTCTGGGAAACTGCACCTCAAGTTGTTGACAAGCAAAACTCATCGTGTGTGTGTTAAGGCAGAGCAGGGTGAACACAGCAGGCATGGTAGCCCCTGCTGAGGCCATAACGTCTGCCATCTTTCAAGGAGATAGGTGCAGGGGTTTCTGGGAACCTGCACC